ACTGACATACAACATCAACAAGAGTTTTTTCAGTGGCTCTCTTCGCTATGTCATCAACTACCTCATTCAACAGTATTCCCACATGTGAAGGGATCCACATGAATCTTACTTTATACCCAGTTTTTTCTAGTTTCTTAACATTCTCTACACTCTATCACAATATTCTGGTATACTGGGCGTCTATACTGGGGTACATTATTGTCCGTTTGTATTATTTGGGTATTATACCAGGCAAAATAAATAATTCCAGGGCAAAGTCAATTCTCGTACCAGGAACGGTTGAGGGCCATGACTAAGATAATAATAATAATTTATTTGCAAGAAGATACAATGGGTTGGTGAGATTACATAAGATAGGTATTTTTACATTCATGCAAAGCCACTAACACGCATAGCATTTTGGGCAGGTCCTTAATCTAACATATCAGGTAAGGTGAAAGGGTACAGTGTAGTAAGTTAATATCAACAAATAACTTTAACATAAGTTGACAGAGGTGATTACACTGGTAAGGATATATGTTGTAAGGACTAATATTGGGGAAGTGGGTAGTACAAGATACAGTGAGAGTTTGAAGCACAAGGTAGGAAACTTTGAGGATAAAATTAGGTACTTTTTTTATTTTACTTTTGAACCGGGCATGGGTTTGACAATTTGTTCAAAAGCGCGGTGTTCGCTCTGCCCGTAAGTCAGCTTCTCGGAACGGGCATGGGCGGATCTCATTGAAACTTAAAATTCTGAACAATTTGGTGGATGTTGATCCAGACAATTTCTTAAAAAAGTCAGATGTAACACAAACAAGGAGCAATGGTTTCAAGCTCAACAAGCCACAATGTAGGACTTAGAACAGGAGATGTTCTTTCATCCACAGGGTGAAAAACAGCCCATAGAATTCAGTTCCACCCATGGAAACACCTACCCACCGAAGCCGTAAATGCCAAAACTCTATTAACCTTTAAGGTACAGCTGGAAAAGATCGTCAAGGCAAATGGAAAGGGACCTTTGACAAGCCACTGGCTTCCTGTTCTCGTCGAGGGCACTAGTGTTAGTGGCTTTCGGGTAAACTTGGGTAAGCCACAGTGTAGGACTGAGAACAGGAGATGCTTTTCAACCCACAAGGTTATAAACCCATGGAACTGTCTATCTGCCAAAGTGTAAATGCCAAAACTGTTAAATTTTAAAACCAACTGGGAAAGATCACCATGGCAAATGGGAGGGACCTTTGACAAGCCACCAGCTTCCTGTATTTGTCAAAGCCACAAAGGTGTTAGTGGTCCTCAGGTGAATTCAGGTAAATGTTAGGCTTATATTGAGGTCCCCCCCCAAAGTCGAACTACTGACCTTTCCCACGATGCAACCCAACAGCAAACTAATGCATGGGTACCTATTTACTGCAAGGTGAGCAGGAGCATTAGATGATTGGAAATGTGCCCAACTATTTCTTGAACCTAGAATTGTATTGACATAAAGTATATTGTTTCCTACTATTTTTTTGTTTATATTTATTTTTGTATCAGTTGTGAATGATTGAGCAGATGCCCTGTAAATTATACCCACAGTTACTATATTACCTGTACTATGATTTCTATGAATTTGAAGCTGATATTTTCAATATCTATTATAATTTTAAATACTGTATTGCTTAATGCATGATTTGACTAATAGCAAGGCTATACCATCAGTATTATTACATGCTTTTGAAATGAGTCTGCTATAATGCAATGCTAGCAGAATATCAATGTTTTCTGTTAGATTGAAGGTCCCATGGTCTGCAAACATCTTACATATGCTGCATACATTTTCATATTAACCTTTATTAGGTGAGCTTTTGAATTCTGGTTGGTTTGTCATTGTCTGGATTGTTTGGGACCAGAAGCCTGTTAGGCTTATTGAGGTGTACCTAAGCCAACAATCGCTCTTTCCCAGGCTGCAGCTTTGAAAAGTTTCCTAACTCCTAGGTACCTAATTACTAGTTGGGGACCAGAAGCATCAGGTGTATGGAAACATGTCCAAATATCATCATACCAGGGAATTGAACTTTGGTGCTACACCAACTTCTTTAAAACTACAGTACAGTATTTGGAAGCATGTTGAGCAAATGCTTCTGTACTGTTATAGAATTGATGATACTGTCCATGCTCTCAGAAAGGGTCATTTCATTTCACTCGTCACTATGCTTACAGACTGTCTTTTTCATAACTAGGTTTTATGACACCTCTCCTTATAGTTAGTGCTGTGTTTTTATTTTGAAATATTTCTTTTATAAAAGGTATGAAAAAGCCAATCAGAGTTTGGTCACAAGATAGAAAAAGACGACATGGTGTAGTTGCTGAAAGCTTCGATGAAGTTATAGAAAAGGGTGCTGCTAAGTTAGGCTTGCCAGACCCATGTGCAGTAACTGTAGTACTGGAAGAAGATGGTACAGTGGTGGATGATGATTACTGGGAGACAATAGCTCCAGACACAAGGCTTATTTTGCTCTCAACTAATGAAGTATGGAAACCATCACCATTAACTGTGCCAAGTAACCTTCTCTTCGTTTCTGATGAAACGGATGGCTCTTTGGATGAAAAACAGAAGGCGTCTAACCTTTTTGCTGTGCTTCAACAGAATCCTGCATCAGTAGCATTGCTAAGCTTGTCTGATTTAGAAATAATCAAAGAAGCAAATTTAGATGCTCCAGAATTATCCAAACATAATTCAGAATCTTCAATGCAGTTGCAAGAATTATGTATAGAGTTTTATGTAAAAAAAAAGAAAGAAGCTGAAGCAATGGAGCTGGTTGATTTGCTAAAGGAGCATTTGAAAGGTAATGATGATGAGTAGGTATGCAGTAAGTTAAGGTTTGATTCTTCATTTTCTGACGCGTGATTTGGTCATTTTCATGTACTGTAGGTGATGAAAAAATATGGTATAACAAGAATAGAATGAATGCTATAACATTGTGACACTATGTTGATTAATCTGATGTGAAAGAAATGTGAATCAATCATGAACAAATCCACAAGGGCCGTTATGAGGGTTCGAACCATCACGGCCCATGTGGATTTGTTCATTTGATGTATCACGCTATTGTGATTTGTGTGTGTATCAATCATGTTATGATCTAGTACTGCTGTGCATATAAGAATTCATCATATGTGCTTATTCATCACTGATAAAGATTTCTACTTTTTTTTTGCCTTTTAGTGACCATGTTTACTTACATGACACAATGAATTGATATACATTTTGTATTTTCATAACTTCCCCCAGGGAATAATTCATTATTAATAAAAAGGATTTGTAAGATCAGTTGTATCTGAATAACATTCTGACAGTTTTTTAAGCGAGAGACTGTAACTGCAAAATATTAAAAAGTTCTTATTGATCTCAGTTATATTAGTTTTATATGTGTGTGTGTGTGTGTGTGTGTGTGTGTAGTTTTGTTGAGAATTGGTAAACAGTTTTATTTCTTTCATAATAAAAAGTGTTTCCAGAAATTTTACTGCCTTCAGTTAATTTAGATATTTGACTGAGCACTGGAAACACTTGTTGGAAAATTAAAGGCTATAGTTTTTCACCATTCAAGGCCAGTTATAGTCTTCAGTTCTGCTCAATTATAAAATGAGGCATTTTGTTTAGTTTTTATTAATACTGTACATGCAATTTGCAGAAAAATTATACATAGGCAAATATTGCATAGATATTTTAAAGTTAAAGCTTACTCATGGATTTCTATAACTATGAATTGTGTATTTGATAAATGTTAGTGTATTTTTTATATTTTTATAGCAATGTTTGCAATACATTTTACAGTTTTTCGAGAGACTTGTGTAAGAGTAAATATGAATTGAGGGATTGTGATCATTAAAAAAAAATTAGGAGTACTAGCTGACTGTTCTGAAAATAACACTCCTGAAAGTTGATACAACGGAATTATTTGAGTAAAGGAAAAACATTTATTTCTTACAAGCAAGAGATGAAAAATCTATGAAGTTGATTATGTTTAATATTTATATTTGGCATGGTGTTATATATTAACTACTGTACATCCGTTCAATAAACATGCTATAAAATTTAGGGATGTACCTATTCACACTCACTGTTATTAAATTATGTCTGATCAAGTACTACTTACCTAGTTGTGCTCGCAGGGTTTGAGCTCTGGCTCTTTGGTCCCGTCTCTTGATTGTCAATCAAATTGGTGTACAGATTCCTGAGCCTACTGCGCTCTTATCATATCTACATTTGAAATGGTGTTTCAAAGTGTCAACGTTATTATGTTCAAAATTGAAGACAAGTGCTGAGCTGTGTTGTTTAATGTTCAGATAAAGCACAGGTTAGACATACATGTGAATGGGGTTCATTGGGTATAAATAGTAGCAGACTTGCATGGGCCAATAGTCCTTCTGCAGTTTCCTCTATTTTTTTCTTATGGTCACGTCTGAAAATACATTTTCTTGATATCTACTCATGGCCATTTTAGACATCGTGGTTGTCCCATGGAAGCTTCCCCACCATATGGTTGGCCTGTACACAATATCTTCCAGGCAAGGTTATGTAAACATAATTTCTAGACTGTTCTATTCCTTTTGTTCAATTATGGGACCTGTCTTGTTAGGTTAGTTTAGTTCATTTATTATGCACCCCATACCCATCTTGTGGGCAGTAGTGGAAAGGGTTACAGAGGCACATAATGGGGTCAGGGACTGAACCCCACAATTCATTTAGCTAAGCAAGTTACAATCTTGATGAGCTAGTTACAAACTTTAATATAAGTCGTCACATCAACAATGGGTTCGAGATCGACCTCAAGTACAGGTTCTAAATTAAGCAACTGACACATGTGGAGAGCTAGTGTCACAATTTATATGTTTGTCCTGCACACCGCCCCCCATCCAGTGGGCAGCGGTGGATAGGTTACAATCACTCAGTTACTACCTACAGTTAGCAAACTGGGGATATTTGGCTAAAATTTCTGGTAGCAGATCATTTTGAATGAAATTTTACACCGCTGGAACATTGGTTATAAAGTTGTCTCTAAATTCACGTATCTTTCCGCACTCCATCACATAGTGACGGAGGGTGTGCGAATAATTTTGTTGACACAGTTTACATTTGGTCAGGTCTACATCAGCAGACTTGTTAGTTAGACTACATTCTTGTTAGGTAATCTTCCATTTCTCTCTTCCATAGTAAGTGCTGTATCTATCCTGACTTCCTGTGCTTTACTTTGGTGTATTTTCTTTGTATCATCCTTTCTGAATTTTGAAACCAGTATAGACTACAGCATTTTTCTTGGCCTCTGTATTCCCAGAACATTTTAACTACAGTATTTCTTTTAACAAACATTTAAAACTATACAAAACATCCCACATTTTACTATTCCTCTATCGTTTCCCTGCTGAATGCTACGCGTCTTTTTTTCTTTCTTTCAACTGCCTGAAACGCTTTGCGTAATAGTGGCTTTAGGCATTGTATGTACTAGCTCTATCTATTAATCCAACAAACTTTGTAAAATCTCTTTATGTATGTACCTTACCTAAATAAACATTTATTTATTTATTTATTTATTATTTATTATAATAGATTGAGCTAAACGAAGTTCACAATACAGTGATTATATAATTAAATAGAAGCACATGTATAAATTAATAGTACTCTTAATTAAGAGTTTAGATTTAATTTTCTAATACTTTTAAGCAATTATTAATTTCACTGTACACTCTCCTGTTGATCCATTTGAGTTGAATGTACTAATGTCAACAGTTGTTTTCCTCTTCTCATTCTTTTGCCTTCAGGCTTCTTCATTGCATCATATGGCTATTTTAATAATTTTTTCACTACTCGCATGAGGGCCTCTAGTGTGATGCATAACCCAACTTTATGTATCATCAGCTAATGTTGACTAACATGCTGTAACCAAATTTAATCAATTATCCAAATTAAATTAAACATTAATAATTCCAATTTTTGACAAGATAAAGCTAACTTACATAAACGATCTGACCTTTGCCACACCTTAATGCCATCATGAACCTACTTTACCATCATTCATCATCTTCAAAAATGTTTCTTCAAGTTTCATCCTCTTCAAATATTTTTTCTTGACCCACCTTACTACTATGCTGTATTCCTGCCAACCTATAATACTTACACTATGCCTGTGCTGGAAGTGGTATACTCTCACATAATACTTTCTACACATCCAAAGTAACATTTGTATTTTCCATCATTTTCTCCCTAGCACAGCTATCTCCCCCACACATAGTTTACATTTGCACATTACAGGGACTGACACTAAATACTGTACCGTATATAAATTACATGGCCTTTTCCAATATTTCAGCAACCAGTTCAGGCTAGTGTTCCATCCCAGTGTTTAAGTATAATGTGTTGGCTAAAGTGAAATCTAGCGCTCGACTCTTCCACCTTTGGAAGGCCATCATCTGTTTTTCCGTCATACATCTTTAACTCTCTGTGCACTAGAACTTGATTGTAACTTTCTGTAGCTCATTTTTTGTTGTCTGCTGTTAACACTGAGTCAGCAGCAAAAGGATGTGCCACATCAGACCATGTGCCAGTTTTTCCTATCCCTCCCCATTTATGACTTCCACTTTCTCTGATTAATTTACCCATGTATTTTATGTTGAAAACCCATGGGGACATTTGACCTGGTTGTTTGACTCCAACACTTGTTTTATTTCAAAAATCACTCGGTCTTCTATTAATTTACGTAAATAAGTATTTTTCAAAACCTCTTGTAAGGCAGTCCAATCAAAATAAAACAAATTAACTACCATTGGGGCATAGACTACAACCCCAAAGCAAGTACAGTACTTGGCACAGCAAGAGGATGGAGTTACACATGACTACTCTACATAAACATGACTGCCCTATGCAGATAGGGAAGAAATCTGTTTAAGTTACAAAATGAGATTTCTCAGACATTAAGCAAGTGTAAATCATCTGCCACTTGGCCAAAAACATTAGTAGCTGTTTGTATAGGCCAGGGCTATATTCATGCCAGTATGGCAGTGTATTACAAGCTAGTGTATACATTACTGAAGACATCTAATTGTTCGTGTTGGCTTTGGCTTGTAGATTGTCAAAAGATATTTTGTAGGCATACTAACTAATACATTTATTTCTTTGCTAACCCTCCAGTACTTCACCTTGTCTGGTCTTTACTGGTCAGATTAGGTCTGACAAGGCCATATTAGACCAGACTAGGTCAGACTAGGCAATCACGATGATCGTATTACTCACTGGGGACACGAGCCCCTTTGTCAGTTATCTTTCACTGAGAATTTTATTACAAAAGTGTTCATCTACCAAAACAACACTGACAACTAGACAATTTCACGTTGCTGAACGTCCCGTTGGACATCCCATCCGACCACCAGGTGGCACCCAGCTCACATCTTAGATTGGCAATGCTCCTACCTTTTACACTCCACCTTAGGGCCTGTTCAGGTGTTGTACAGTACACTATTAATACTTAATGATTGTGTACAGTATGCTGTTCACAATGTGTCTGGATGTGATTATCCACCTTAGCTTGGGTTTCCTTGCTCTAATTTCTGGCACTGTAAGAGGTGAATGCTGTCAGTTAGCAATCTTCTCTGAAGAATTCACTCCTTATTGTACTTTGGAACTCTGTTGCAGAGGATCTAGTGTAGTTAGTGGTTATTATCTGGTTTGCACTGAGGCTACTGATATATTGCCTATTCATGGCTTTTTCCACCATCCCTCATCTTCCAGTGACAGGGTTTTGTTTGTCTGCTGAATCTTGGTATCTGCTGTTTCCTAGCTCAGCCACTTGCTTGGGTTTCATTATCTAAAACAGCTTGTTGATACGCTCTTTGCACTCAAGGCCAGTGTTAACTACTTGGATTATGAAGTCTCCCCCCACTATGTTTTTAGCCTGCCTGCTACTTGCAGCTTTTATAGAAGTTTCACCTCATTATTTGCTTTGCTGGTCCTATTGCATGACTGAGTTGCCTTCTCAGACCTAATCCTTCTGAGTCAGTTCATTGTATGTTGATCTGTTGGGTTCTGAAACTCCCCCACCATGTTTAAGTCAGCCACTTGCTGTTTTTTGCTTCCTTAAGAGTATGATGGTGTTTATTATACTGTGGTCACTCCTGGAGCCAGACCAAGTAATCTTCCCAAGTTGGCTTGACCCATGATCGTACCTTCCACTCCAGGCTTTTCTTTGCTGGATGTGATTTTACAGTTTTGTGGGGAGTTTCCACTGTTTCTCATTTTGCTGGGCATTTTTATTGCCTGGCTGAGCTTTCTTTTCAGGATGTCTTTTTCTTTTCTTTTTTTCTCTCCTTCTCGATGTATCACGAAACTTCATGGTGTCTAGTCTAACCAGTAATGGCCAGAGTGTAATCTTAGGGAAGCGACTGAGGCTGAGCCTAGAGAGGGGGCCCTTTCATTATACTCAACACTTTAATTTATCTACGTAAACCTAACCCATCCTAAAGTTACTTGCTATGTACATAATAGTGAAGAGTTCACTGGACACATGCCAAAATGCACATGTCCACTGATATATGTATTTTAATTTGTATCATCACTTAACTAAAGACTTCATAAAAGCTTCTATCCTGTTACAACTGCTATTACTGCACTTGTGTAGATCAGTTTTTTCTGGGTACAGTACTGTGTTTTTTTTTTTTTTTTTGCTTCTGCAGTGTTCTAGATTTCTGAAATAAATATATTCATACATGTTATAAAACAGTTTCTTGACTTTCACATCATTTTCTAAGTGTTGAATACCTGCCTGACTAATGATAAATTGTTTGTGCCAAAAATTAAAAAAAAATTATGTATTTACATGTTAAAGGAAAGGTAGTATGCTGGTTGTGTTATGCACTTGTTGAAAAATTATTCACAAATAGTATATTTTTTGTAAATTTAGCCTCCGTCTGGCATTTGGTCTAATCACAAAAGAACAATTAAAGAAGTACAGTACTAGATCAAAATTCTTAAACCATTTTAGTGGTTAATCTGATTGGAAAACATGTTTAAGTAATGCACCTTCAGTAGAAACCTGCTCAAATGGAAGGATGGCCCAGGTTATAAAGTCAGTTGTAATGGAATAAATTGGTAGACTGAATCACTCATTTTCTTTACCAGAATGTAGTGTCCGATGCATACAATGCAGGTGAACCTTACTTAACATCAGGGTTAGGTTCCTGAAAACTGCAGCTTTAACTGAAATTATGGTAAGTGAAACCAAAAACCTTATATGTCTAGCCATATAAGAAAGAGTTAGGTTCCAAGGGTACTGGGAAAGATGATGGTTGGTAATTTCTCTCATCTAAATATCATAGTACTACTGTATTTAATCCGTAGGAGCCGTGATTATGGTTTGAACCTATGCGGTGGGTGTTCCCACGCACACGGGCGTCCTACACAGCAATGGGGGTCCAAAGCTGATTGTTCCATTTGAGCTGGTTTACTATTGTAACAGATACAGTCTGTAGATGTTAGTCATTATACTAGAAACAAGGCAGCTTGTAGTGTACTCTGCTTCTGTTGTGCAAATTTTATTTCTCTTGAATAAATATATATATATATATATATCAGCAAAGAAACATATATTGTTAAAAAAATACAGCTTCATTTGTAATGTGCCACAAATGTACTTTATTACAGGTAAAGCTTCTGTTACTTTGTGAATTTCAATATCTAGCTATTCCAATATTATACTTAAGTAAGGCTTTCACTCATTGCAAATGTGTTAATAATTTTTAGTGTCCATCTTTATAACAGAAGCAGTTAAACCCTAAAAATAATAGTGTTGTGGAGAGCGTCAGTTTTTAAATACAGTACTGTAGACTTTAAATATAATAATATATATAATAACTTGAATAGTTGTTCATTATCACATTGTGTTAGATTTGTTTATTAACTGGATTAGGAGTGTGGGATATAATCCACAACCAATTGTATTGGATTGGCAGAAGTGTTGTGTTAGAGAGGGAAACAGGATGTGGCTGATTATTCAACTATGGAAATGAGTTCTGATTTTAGCAGCAGAGTGCAAAATGTAAAAACTCTCCATAATACTCATGTTTATTACTCATGGGCAGTAGTTCATTATTTGTAATGGGCTTGTTGCTCCTTTTTTCTGTGGTGACAGTAGATCTTGTGTAAAATCATATAATGCATTAATTATTATCAATTTTTTTTAGAGCAATTTGAAGCATTTTTTAAGTTCCAGAACAGTAATTACTCTTGTGTAGCATTCAACTATTTTGTCTATGGTAGTTCCCCCCCCCCCATCAGTAGTTTCCAAGAGCTTAAGCACTGGTCCTGAGGGCAAGTAGCATCTCACAGGTAACTGTGACTTGTCTTTGTTTACAAAAAAGCAAGGCTGTCTTACCCCCACAAAGTGGCAGGGAACACTCAGTATCATAAGCCTCCCTTGCACAGAGGGAAAATATCCAAAAAGGGGTCAGGATAACTAACATTCTTGAGAAATGTTTGGAACAAATGAAATAAAACATTGGTGAAAACTAACCCAAATGATTGAAAAGCCACCTCATGGTTTTGACCGCGGCCCGATCGTCGACCAGGCCACGAGGACGCTAAGCCCAAGAAACACCTCAAGGTAACTTCAAGGTATGGTTACAGACGTCAGATACAATGGTATTGGTCATGGAGTACCAGTGCTTAAGCTCTGAGAAGTCATTAATGGGCTCAAACTCAAAGGAACAAACATTTAATTATACAAAATGCTATTACACACACATAATATACAGTATATATATATATATATATATATATATATATATATATATATATATATATATATATATATATATATATATATATATATATATATATATATAGTATATATATATTATACTGCTATGTACTTGTACTGTGTACAAGTACACAGTACAGTACTGTATATATGTAATTGTACTTTGTCTTAAGTCAATTATATTATAAATTTTAATTTTCATATTAATGCATAAAGATTTTAATTGAATTACTCCTTTAATGCCAAAGATCATTAACAGTACAGTATTTAAACAAATACTTTCAGATGAAGAAGGTTTCAGTCATAATGTTTAGCTTTAACTATGTTCTACTGCACTCCATTAATTTATAAGCATATTAATGTACCATAATTTTTATACATTTTATAGATTGCTTAATGTTTTGTAAGTGTTTAATGGCAATTAAAATATTGGTAAATATTATACAGTATATTAATAATATAGTTCCTTTAATCTTTAAAACAATTGATTTTACACATATACTATTATAAACTTTCATAATTTAACTGGGGGTGATATTTGGGGGCCGGGGTTTTAGAGGTCGAACAGGGTTCTGGTGGCCCGTTATCTTGTTAATGGTTCCGGGTCCCAGCACTCCTGTGTGGCCCTGGGTTGTGTGTCTCTTCATCATAATTATGTGGTGCTTCATCCTCCCTGGTAAGTGGCCATTTGTTTTCCTTCTCCATGGGTAGCTTCAGGAAGCCACAAGGGGGGCTCCCCTTTCTCAGAAAACTAATATTAAATGTAATGACACCAATTTTTGGATGAGCCCTGGTGGTTCCCTGATCTCCCCCTCCCTTTCCATTCCAGGTTGTCAGAGGGGAATGGGGGGAAAGGGATGTTGGCAAAATCTGCCTAGAACTGAGGGTGGAGATGCTAGCCAACTTTGAGCTGGACCCCCCCCCCCCCCCCTCATAAACAAGTGGGGTGAATGAGTTTGTACTGGTTTCAAGAGATTCTGATTATTTGTCTACACAGTTGCAAGAGTTCTTTTGGTGATTCTCAAGGCAGCAGCCTCTATTGAAACAAGCAGTGGTTTATTTTGACTTGGCTTTCTGGTTGCCTTTCTTGGTGATGGCATAAATAAATGTCACCACTTCCTGTCCCTCTGTGTGGGAGAAAGAAGCCAGGTTCTGGAGCTGGTCCCTGGTAGGCCTATATAGGCCTCTGCAGCTGATGTGACCTAGATGGGTACCCTATCACTATATGATAGCTTCAGGGAGTCACTGGGGCTCACCCAGAAATTGGAATTTCATTACATTCAGTGCCTGTTTACAGTAAACAACCTTCTCTGAACATATTTCACTTTTTACTCAATTCCCATGAAGGATTTTCCTTTACCACAATTCATATTTGACTTTTTATGGCTCAACACCTATTATTTGAAAGTCTGCTGTCTGCTATAATTATAAAATTATTATTAAATTTACATTAGATTTTTATTTAAACCTACTTTACACACCTAACACCCCATTTAATCCTCGATTCACTGTCACCAGCCCGTCTCCAAAATGAAGACCAAAAATGATTCCATATACAGAGCCAGTCAGACAGCACGCTGGACTTTTAATCCTGTGGTCCTGGGTTCGATCCCAGGCGCCGCCGAGAAACAATGGGCAGAGTTTCTTTCACCCTATGCCCCTGTTACCTAGCAGTAAAATAGGTACCTGGGTGTTAGTCAGCTGTCACGGGCTGCTTCCTGGGGTGGAGGCCTGGTCGAGGACCGGGCCGCGGGGACACTAGAAAAAAGCCCCAAAATCAAGATAACCCGCCAAACGGCCCGTTTATGAATGAAAAATCTGTACACGATTCAACTTTTGACATGCTAACATTTCCGAAACAAGTGCTTTACAGACTTTCCAACCACAATGCTCTAAATGTCGCCGTTGTACTAATACAAATAATTGCCAACAACCTGATGAACACTTAACTAAAGCTTATATGAGCACAATGAAATCATTCTTTAATTTCTATTAGAGATTTATATTTTTAATAAACAGGATGTGACAAGTTATAATTGCGTCTGTGGGGTCGACCGCTGAAGGTAATGACATTCAGTAGAGGACGGCTTTGTCACAGTACGCCATTTTTATTCTTTAAACTATAGCACCAACTTTTACAAATATCCTACATGCTATACACTAATTTTGCCCCCCAGGAACACACCCGCCAAATCTTTTAAACTAGGTACCTATTCACTGCTCTGCGATAATACAATTAAGGATTGCCACTCACCTTTTTAACCATGCCTTCAAAGTCTTGGTAAAATTAGGAAATATTCTGGTTACCATTATACACAGCTCAGCATATGACACTGTTGGCGATCATATTCATTCGAACAATATCCTTTATACATAACCGTAGACACCAACCTGCAAATACAGTAACACTTTAGCAATATAACGCTGTTAACTACAACCTTTCGCCCCGATATCTGTCACCGACTATCTGTCTGATCTTGCCCCTACAAGGTTCAGTTTCAAACTTTTTTAAAATTTCCAATCATTGAAAATTCACTAGAACAGACAGGAAACTTACGAAAGTAAACCAACCCATACCAGACGATGTCACTCTTCCACATCTACAGTAACAACCTAATGCAGCCATCATTACTGTATACAAATCTGAAGTGAAGCTGCAGAATTTGCACTAGTCACTCCACGCCGACTTCCCACAAACACTAGCCACTGGCACTAATAAACTATTCCCAGCTGTATACAGCCTTTTAGCAGCCTGGCACCGACTGGAAAACGTAAACTCCACATCATACATTTAGCAACCTACATATTCAACTATTACCGTTATGTCAAAGACCGATGCGATTTCCTCAACCTAACCTACCCCATCTTAGTTGCGACAAACACTTACACTGACTAAATTAAACCCCAACACTATCAAAACCATTACTATACTTCACTGTTTTGCCCAGGAGTAAAGTTAAGAAGTCACTAAACTCTTATTAGATCTACCGTGGCTAATATCTGAAGTATGGCTAAATACCTATAAACTAAGTTAGTCTATTTTTATTGTGAACAAACTTCTTGCGTACACCATTATATATCAAAAGCTACGTCAAATTCTGTCAACTCTCTACAATACATTACCGATTTATTATCGGCGCATTCAATATTTGTGGAAACAACTAAATACAAAATTCTTTGGTATAACAATGTACTTAATTTAAAAGTAAATATAATTCTCTTCCATTAAATTCTAATCCTTAATATTTAAATTAACTTAATGTTTCACAACTATTCATCAATCAAAAAAACAAACATTTATTCAACTTACAGACTTCAATGTAACGGGAATCGATCGTATCACAAAGCGCTGCAGTAAGTAATCCATCGCTCCAATACATCACACTATACCCTCAGTCATTTAGTCTGCCGTCAAAACAGAGATGGCGCTGAGAACGCCACACCGCGTTCTAAAACAGCCAAAACGCTCATTTTCTTGATTAGAACTGACATTCAGGGGACTGAAAGCACTAATATAAACAATTATAATATATTTAGAACTGAGAAATGTTTATATACGGACAGCGTGAAATATCCACCAATGTGACAATGGAATTAGCACTAATTTCTTACGTATACAGGAATTCATACCATCTTGTACAGCACTAGGACGCATTGCCTTAGTCCAAATTTTCCCCGGAATACGATCCGCCGAATCGTTTAACAACCAGCTACCTATTCATTGCTGGGTGAACAGAGGCTACATTTAAGGATTTGCGCCTAGTCAATCTTCCCCGGTTACGAACCCAATCCAAAGCGCTCGCAAAACGCCAGGCGAATGTTACCACTTCGTCACGGGAACTAGAATATAGTTACTTATGGAAGGTAGCTACAGGTAATGATTAGTGAATCTTCCAACTGTCAGCATTCCAATTGTAAACTTGGTTTGCACTAACTATCAGCATACCAAGGCATTCTTTAACATTATATTACCAAATTAACTGATTTTACATGAGGGCCACTGTCTAGTGGGCTCGATGAGGACAGGAAGCCGGTGGCTTGTCAAATATCCGAATGCACTGTTATCAATGATCTTAGACCAAATGACACGAAATGCTATGAGCTCTCTTACTATTTCATTCACTAACAATTATTGGACCATATTGCCGTGTTCTACTTGACGTTTGATAGTGCAGGTCATAGTAGACTAGACTCAGATATCATGTTTTTCCTTAATTCCATGCATAACTAACCCTCCTGTGAGCTGGGTATATAAGAACAACTTTATAACTACCTTCTACAATCCGTAATCACTCGCACAACATTGTGGCAGTCTACTAAAGTTTGTTACAAACAAAATATTCAACGTTTTCCCTGTTTTGGAACGCTTATGGTCATGCTTTCAGCGCCATCTCTGTTTTGACAGCAGACTACTAATTGACTTGCGTTACTGGATTATAAATATCTGGGTGTCATGGGCAGTTGACAGTCTTTCTGTTTCTGGGCAACAAGGTGATGTGAGGCGAGGGTTTTCGACACTTTGGAGTAGTTGTTTGTCAGCCATATGGTGTGGTGCATTGGAACGATGGATTAATCGCTGCAGCGCGTTTTAATGTGTGTAACTTCAATAAGGTATTGTTGTCTAGTTCTAATACTATACAACATAGTTAATTTGAATATTTAGTATTAAAATTTAGTGAAAGGGAGCATGATTGGCTGTCATAATTTTAAAAGTACTTTGTTAGGTAGATAACGTCTATTCATGTAAAAGTACATGAATTCACAATGAGCCAACATTGTTTAAATTATAGATTGGAGTTGGTACATACTTGTACTATATACCTAGACACTCGTACACGCGGTATTTCGGCTAATGGCAAATACTTGAATTTAAAGGTAATTTAAATGCTACTGTTAAACTAGTAAAAGCTAATAGATTACATTAAATGTTCTAGATTTTCAGTAATTTTTGTATCGAAGGTATTCTCTTGACCCCGATTCAATATATGACCAGTAAAGTTTTTTGTATTAAAATTCCCAGTTTGATCCCAAAGGCTGAGTACTTGTGATTTTGTCCTGAAACTTCCCCAATCTCTCAGGATGGCTAGTCATACAGGGGTCATACGTTCAGTAGCCTGCACTTGCACATTTTGGGTGAAATGAAAATATACTAAAGGCCACTTGAGTGAATAAACAATCTCCGGGTACTTCATGCCAACGGGTCTGATAAATGACAATTCGGTAGTGTACTGTGGGAGATCGTGTCGGTTCTTGATCAGTTTGAAACTGATGCCGAGGATTGGAACACCAATCGCCTGTAGCCAGTTAACGGTAACCCAACATGATTAGTGTTGGGTATATTTTATAGATTTAAATCTTCGTTCAGATGGGATTAATAGAATGAAAAAAAGCAAATTGATAAAACTGTTTAGAAATTCCAATACTTGGAATCTCTAAATTGACGAATGTTAGTTTTGGAGGCATTTGAAGGAAAGTTTGCAGTAGATGGACCCCTATAATGCAAACGGCCAAATATGGGACTGAAGTGCAGCTAGTTTTTAAAAATTAAATTTGTTAGCTTTCATGGGTTTCTACAATGAACACAGCTAGGATATTGGGATAAATTAGGTGCTATGGATCTCGAGGGTACAAATTGTGTACAGTTTAGTTCATATATTGGCTAACAAGAACGTTAACTACATGCTTGGTCCTATTGAAGTTTTATAATGGCAACAGTTTAGGAGCAGAGTGCTATGCAATTATTAATATTGATTTCTGGTCCCATGACAGGTTGTGCGAGGGCCTTACCTGTACTTCTGAAGGTACGTTATCGTCAGATATTGTTACTGATGTACAGTACATAGCATGGTTATGTTAAAAAAATTAAGGGGTATAATTACTTCTATAGCTAAACTTCGTGCCTAAATATTTAGGTAATTTTGTATTGGTGAAACTTGTAAAGGGGCCAGGAAATGGCAAATAACCTTTCTTATAGGCCTAGACTAGTGGGTACTATATCAGTGTAGTCCTTGCAGGCATTGCTTTATACAATTAATACCCCTGGTTTTGTTAATTTTGTAATGTGGGGCATTTGCCCTTAAACTGAACTTGAGGGTCTTTTATATTTAGTATTTATGTATTTGAACCTAAATTGGGTTGCATAATTTAATGTTCGGCTAGTAGCTTCGTTCTTTAGTTCATAAATTGATTTCGGTCAAATTATGTACTTGTGCCTTGAAAAGGTGGTGTGAAGTAATGTAAACTTATTCTGTATACTGCAATACTTTCCTAGAATAAAGTACCAAACATTGACTGGTAGCTGTGTTTCATGTATAATTTAATTGAAGTTTAAATAAAATGTTCCAGAATGTGGATTGACGTCCAGAACTTCATTCTTCGGTTGGAAGGTCTCTTAAATTGCAGAAATGGGTGTAAGGTAGTGAACTTTAATTTGAATACTTTTTGTAATAAAGTGTACTATAAAATTTGCTACTTAGACAATCTATAGCATTATGGGCAAAGATAATCTATTATGCTGCTTAAATGTAGATATCAATGTAAGTGGATATAATTGCCATGAAAGGTTTTGCAGTTGTGGACTAGATTCTCAACTTTAAATGTACTTATTAAAATCTAATATTTGACTAGTCTTTTCCATCTTAATTTTGATCAGCATTATTTAAATTCTACTAAAATATGTAGGAAAGGTTAAAATATTGTAAATGCCTATAAAGCTGTAAAATTGAAAGAATTTCCCCCTCTGGATTTAAAGTATTGTACCTATACATTAAAGTAGCATAAAATGTCATTGAATTAATTTCTTTAACATTTGGCAAAATATTTATTTCGGGTGCCAATGAAGATTAAAAGTAACAAAGCACTGCCTTAAATGTCTGTTCTACTAAACTTTGAGCTGTATTGAATGTTAGAGTAAATTTTTTTTTATATAGTACTTATAGATGTGTAACAATGTCCTACCGTTACAAGGTTGCTCTGAGTAACCTACAGGGGGTAATGCAATGATAATCCTACCCTATTTCATAGGACCAGGCAGTCCTGATTTGTGACTTGATTTTTTCAGAGCTCTGTAGTATGTTAGATTGATGGACTAGAAGTGTATAGGTCTAGGCAAGTTAACTTTAACAATGTTACATTAATTCACAGGGCTTGTGCACTGATTGGATGCAGCCAGAAGTTTAGTGCTTGGAATGTAATGTAAAGGGGTTTACATAAAGCATGTGTAGTGATTTGGCACCAAATTGACATTGTGCACCAATAATCACATGAAAAATGATAGGCCTTGCTGTGCCAGTCTCTGAACGTTCATACTTAGGCATTAGTGTTGAGTCTTTCTGATGGTTTTTATTAAGGTGATTATCCTTGGTACTCTGTATTTGTCTTGGTGTTTACGTAAATTATGTTTACAGGCGTGGAAACCTACATGTCAATGTTCGCGAATGATGCAAAATTAATGAAGTTGACAGATGATGATTGTAGGATCCTCCAAGAGGACCTGGACAGGTTCCAGATATGCAGAGACATGGCTACTAGGTTCAACAAGAGTAAATTTTAAAGGTGCTTAGGGATCTTCAGTGATAGCATCCAGGAACATTAGTTTACCACAACCTGAAAATGTAAATACTTAATGAAATCAAATACTGTACAATGTATACCCTTAATATTTTAATAAATTTGTAAATGGCAAAGACTTTTACATGCTTAGTTGATCCTTAAATTAGACATGATCAAATCATTCTGGAAATTACTTAATAATTAACTTTAGTGAATCGGTATTCAACAATGACATCCGAAGATAAATTGCACAATTTATTCCATGGGAAATAAGTTTAGCGTTTGAAATATGAGTCCATACTAAATGTAACACAGAACTAATTTTGACAAATTTTAAGCAAATAGTTTATAATTTTTTGGATACATACAAAAGCTAAACTGGGATAAGCTGTGTGCCAAGGAACTGGATAATTGCTTAAAATTATTAACCCCTAGAAAGTATGGAAAAGTCAATGTGGAAACTGCTGAAATTAAAGTTGCCTCAATATTTCAAATCTTTACTTAAATTTGTTAGAATAAATTCTTGAAGGCTATGAGATGCCTGAAATTAGTGTTACCATCCTTAATAATTTTGTTGTATTTGTGTCTAGCTTCGGACACGAGCATGTTACAGTTATGTCTTAAAGAGTTGAGAGCATTTAAGGATGATAAGGAGTCACTTACAATTAATGTATCAAGTTTTGAGACTTGTACACATTTCAGTGCAAGGATCAAGGCAAATAGTTCAGTCTGAAGGGTAGAGGCCCAGTTGTTTATACGGACTCCCCACTCAAAGTATAGGCCATCGCCCATTGTCAGGACAACTGCACTTCCAGCTGCACCCGTGGTGCGGTGTAGGGAACCATCAGTATATATAATTTGAGAGAGAGAATGCTCTGTGGACAGAGCATCAATATGGCTTAAGGCGTTGAGCTTTGCCTCAAGACGAAGCTTGGGCTGATCTCTAATTTGCTTCTTGGGTGGAAAGGGAGGGATTAAAACTGGAAAGGGTGTAACCTCCCACGGTGCAGGAAAGTGCCGTTGTTGTTTCTCTTGGTACAAATCATGAACCTGATACATTCTGAGTTGAGTTCCAGTTTTTGTTATCCATTTGGAACAATGCTGATCTTCAATAAAGAAATTCTGGAGGGCTTCTGTGCAAGGATTAGGATGAGTTAGCCTAAGCATTTTTATACCAATTTGACAGTTAATTTCAGTAACACGATCAACAACGCTCAGAATATTAAATTAGTGTAAAAGTGCAAACATAAAATGATAATAGCACTGGTTAAAAAATTTGTTCATGTACAATAATTTAAGAAACTGAAGCAATTATGCAATAGTTTTCACAAATGCAGGCGATGAGTCACAATAACGTGGCTGAAGTATGTTGACCAGACCACACACTAGAAATTGAAGGGACGACGACGTTTCGGTCCGTCCTGGACCATTCTCAAGTCGATTGAGAATGGTCCAGGACGGACCGAAACGTCGTCGTCCTTTTCACAAATGCCTTCCTAAGGACCTAGAACTCAGTCCTAATCATTCTGGATTCCACCAGGCATACATAACAGTTAAATTATTCTAGACATTGGAACTGCATAATGGGCTTAGGTTGTCTTATCACTTGTCTAGACATATCACTGTCCATATAAGTGTCATACATATAGGCATATGTATGACACTTATATGAGATTGAGTATGGTACCTTTATGGGTATGTGTTTGGTACTTATGTACTTACGTACCTCTATGGTACTTACGTACCTTTTACCTTACACAGACAGTCATCCGTATTTTATAGATATAGAAGATGGACAATGATTAACTCAAGTAATAAAAACTTGACCAGCGGACGAAGACAAAGATGGGGTACATACAGCCCGCCGCCTGCAAAGAATCCGAGCCCTGGCGAAATCGTCATTTTTCACAAAACTCAAAATCAAAACCAGCCATAGAATCGTTTTGAAAATGGTACCATTGTGTTTACCACAGCAATTTACCATTCATTCTGTAAAGTCTTTCTTTGCTACTTTTAAATACTTTCGCGCTTTCCAGTAGACGTGAGTCGGCACCAATATTATTAAGCACACCGCACTCGTGCCCCTCGGGGGAGTCACGAGCAAAAATATTTGCATAAAATCCATTTATTATCCGATCAACTTGGGAATAGTATACAAATGTTTGCCATGAAATGTACGTTTTCTCTAATAGCCGAACGGCTTATAAAAGAAAACGGCATGGCAGTGAATCATCGTGGTAAAACAATTGTATTATTGACACGACGAGTGTAATCGACGTAGTTTTTATATATGTTGCCGGTCGAACGCATCCTTATGTGACCTTTAATACTTATGTTCTTATAGAACATTCTATTGCGAGCACATTTGTACAAAAATGAAATACATACATCGACAAATAATGTCAGGACAGTGAATTGAATATACACTTTTCAAAGCGAGTTTCGCCGATATGCTGCCCCGGGTAACACTTCGGCCACTTCCCACACTGTTTTGGGTGGGCTACGACATTAAATCTAAATTTATATGCATATGTCCGTGTAGAGAATTTTATTGCGATTCCAATGATACCACAATTAGCGATGTAGGACAACTGTAGGCTTCGCAACCATTAAGAGAGTGGAAACATTTTGTTGCTGTTTGGCGCTCTTGGCGAGTGATCTGAATAGTTTTTTATTTGGTGTTGATAGTCCTTATGCTTGGGTGGCATTTTATAGGTATGCTCTTATAGACAATTTCATTGCGAACACAGTGATACCAAATTTAAATACGTGCGCCTTCAATTATTGTCAGGACAGTAAAAAGAGTGTACACTTTTTCGGTCTCACCGCATAGGCGCGCTGAGCGCCAAAAGCATCTAGAGTATTATTTTTTTTTGAGCGCCAAGAGTGCAAAAGTGTTAACGCCTATACAGCCATATTTACTGAGATACAGCCACCTCAAATATAAAAAATATCATCGTGTTTTCTCAACAAATTACTAAGGAAAATCAGTTGTAAAAAATGTAATAATGATCAAATTGAGCTAAATAATAAATGGATAATCAAAATAACATTATATCTATATTCCTCATGTATTTAGAGACTACTATGCATGGTGCGTATATGGGCATATGTATGCTACTTATAAAGGCATTTGTATGGTACCTATATTGGCATATGAATGGTACTTATATGGGCATTTATGGTACTTATAAGGGCATATGTATGGTAGTTATAAGGGTATATGTATGATACTTATAAGAACATATGTATTGTTCTTATAAGGGCATAAGTATGGTACCTTTTTGGGCATATGTATGTTACTTATAAGAGCTTTTGTATGGTACCTCAATGGGCATATGTATTGTTCTTATATGGGCATATATATGACACTTATATGGGATTGAGTATGGTACCTTTATGGGTATGTGTTTGGTACTTATGTACTTACGTACCTCTATGTTTCTAGGCTGGGATTTATTTCTTATTTATTTATTTATTTATATACAAGAAGGTACATTGGGTTTGTGAGAATACATAGCATAGTATTTACAATCTTGTAAAGCCACTAGTACGCGCAGCGTTTCGGGCAGAAACGGAAAATTTCTCGAAAAGTTAGCAATAAAATACGTTTTCTAGTTATTTTTAAAATTAAGTCCAGGGATTCTGTCTAACGAAGCTGCAAGCTAAAACAACGTTATGCTATAATGTTCATCTGTAGCTTGACCCTAAATACTCGTTTATTAAACAAATTTATTGTTAGAGTTCATTAGGAATAAACTTTGTTGAAGGCAGAGTTTCCAGCAAATACCTTCCTGTGATTGGCTGTTGCGGGGAATGCCAACGCTTATATGAATAAAATGCAAAATAAGAAATACGTCCTTTTGCTCAACAACTTTGGTGTTGTTGTACAAAAGAACAACAATGTCTGTTTTATACAAGACAGACATTTCCATCTAACTGAATAATGTAGACCAATAAGAGGACGGAGGCATTGTATCGCCGATATTATTTGTGTGAGGCAACTCCCACTGATGACGTCACAAGTTAGGTAGCCAGCCCATGTTTCTGTAACACCCGTTACATCCTGCAGTATTTAATTATCACTATATTAATACTTTTAAATACTTAACATTTCACTTTTTAGGTAGATTAAAGTTGAAGCAGAATGTCATAAGCAAGGATGGTGTGCTGAATAAAGATGATTTATTAAGTGGATGGAGCCTTTAGCTGATCCCTTCCTGTGATTGGCTGTTGTGTGAATGTCAACAAAGAATATCTACCAATGATATGCCATTTATTATGCACCCCATACCATCTGTGGGCGGAGCTTGGAACCTCCTACCCGAGCACAACAACCCACCTTATGGGTTGCTGTTTGGCTATTTATAGTGCGTTGGAAAAAAACGAGATGGCGCTAGTGGTATTTTGTGGGGTAATTTGTTATAAGTGTACATCTGTGTACATAAGTGTACAATGTTGTTATAAGTGCCATCTGTTGATGTCAACAGATGGCGTAAGCTGTATCTTATGGCCACTGTTGACCAGCCAGTTGATAGTGCAAAATCTTACTGAAGCGACCATACGGGTCATACATTCTCATCCTCCGCCCAGGTTAAACAGAAACGAGCATCACTTTGTGGGCCAGCCAGAGGCTTAGGGCCCGCGCAGGATTATCAATGCTAAAAAGAAAAAAAAAGAAAAAAAAAGTGGATAGTGTTCTATTCTGCCGACAGATGGCATCTGCTGTATTATTTTTACTTCCGAATTCCCTTTTAAACACTGATCTACAAATCCCTTGGCTTGTATAAGGTTTTATACAATTTATGATAAGTATTAGATAACTGGAGTTTCGCAATTACTTTTATCACTTACGTACCTCTATGGTACTTACGTACCTTTTACCTTACACAGAGAGTCATCCGTATTTTATAGATATAGAAGATAGACAATGATTAAATCAAGTAATAAAAACTTGACCAGCGGACGAAGACAAAGATGGGGTACATACAGCCCGCCGCCTGCAAAGAATCCCAGCCCTGGCGAAATCGTCATTTTTCACAAAACTCAAAAACAAAACCAGCCATAGAATCGTTTTGAAAATGGTACCATTGTGTTTACCACAGCAATTTACCTTTCTTTCTATAAAGTCTTT